CAGGATTAGAAACAAAAATCACATGTTCATTTCAATAGTGGCAGAAAAAGAATTCAACAAAATTCAGCATCCCTTTTTTTTAAATTGCATTTTAGGTTTTGGGGTACATGTGAAGAACATGCAAGATTGTTGCATAGGTCAGCATCCCTTTATGATTAAAACTTTCAGCAAAATCGGCATACAAGGAATATAACTTAATGTAATAAAAGCCACCTATGACAAACCCACAGCCAGCATACTGAATGGGAAAAAGTTGAAAGCTTTCCCGCTGAGAACTGGAATAAGACAAGGATGCTCATTGTCACCACTTCTCTTCAACATAGTACTGGAAGTCCTAGCAAGAGCAATCAGATAAGAGAAAGAAATAAAGGGCATCCAAATTCGTAAAGAGGAAGTCACACTGTCACTGTTTGCTGAGAAAATGATAGTTTACCTTGAAAACCCTAAGGACTCCTCCAGAAAGCTCGTAGAACTGATCAAAGAATTCAGCAACGTTGCTAGATACAAAATTAATGAACACAAATCAGTAGCTCTTCTATACACCAATAGTGACCAAGAGGAGAATCAAATCAAGAACTCAACTATTTTTTTTTTTTACAATAGCTGCAAAACAAAACCAAAAACAAAACAAAAAATCAACTTAGGAATATACCTAAGCAAAGAGTTGAAAGACCTCTACAAGGAAAACTACAAAATGCTGCTGAAAGAAATTACAGATGACACAAACAAGTGACACCAATATCCCACGCTCATGGATGGGTAGAATCAATATTGTAAAAATGAACGTATTGCCAAAATCAATCTACAAATTCAGTTCAATGCAATCTCCATCAAAATACTACCATCATTCTTCACAGAATCAGAAAAAAACATTTATAAGATTCATATGGAACCAAAAAAGAGCCTGCATAGCCAAAGCAAGATAAAGCAAAAAGAACAAATTTGGAGACATCACACTACCTGATTTCAAACTATACTATAAGGCCATAATCAACAAACAGCATAGTGCTGGTACAAAAATAGGCACCTAGACCAATGGAACAAAATAGAGAGTCCAGAAATGAACCCAAATATTTACAGCCAACTGATCCTTGACAAAGCAGACAAAAACAAAGTGGGGAAAGGACACTCTTTTCAACAAATGGTGCTGGGATAATTGGCTGTTCACATGTAGGAGAATGAAACTAGATCCTCATCTCTCACCTTAGACAAAAATCAACTCAAGATGGATTAAGGACTTAAACCTAAGACTTGAAACTATAAACATTCTGGAAGATGGCATTGGAAAAACCCTACTAGACATTGGCTTAGGCAAGGATTTCATGACTAAAAACCCAAAAGCAAATGCAATAAAAACAAACATAAATAACTGGGACCTAACTAAACCAAAGAGTTTTAGTACAACAAAAGAAACAGTCAGCAGAGTAAACAGACAACGCACAGAGTGGGAGAAAATCTTCACAATCTATACATCTGACAAAGGACTAATATCCAAAATCTACAACAAACTCAAACAAATCAGTAAGAAAAAAACAAATAATCCCAGTGGGCTAAGGACATGAAATAGACAATTCTCAAAAGAAGATATACAAATGGCCAAGAAATGTATGAAAACATGCTGAACATCACTAACGATCAGAGAAATGCAAATCAAAAGCACAAGGTACTACCACCTCACTCCTGCAAGAATAGGCAGAATCAAAAAAAAAAAAATTAAAAAAACAAAACAAAACAGTAGATGCTGTGGTGGATGCAGTGAACAGAGCGCACTTCTGCACTGCTGGAGGGAATGTAAACTACTATAGTTGCTACGGAAAACAGTGTAGAGATTCCTTAAATAAATAAAAGTAGAACTACCATTTGATCCAGGAATCTCACTATGGGTACCTACCTAGAGGAAAAGAAATCATTATTCACAAAAGTTACATGAACACTCATGTTTATGGCAGCACAATTCACTATTCACAATTGCAAAATCCTGGAACCAACCCAAATGCCCATCAATCATCGAGAGGATAAAGAAACTGTGTGTGTGTGTGTGTGTGTGTGTGTGTGCGCGCGCACACACACACACGCGAATGATGGACTGCTACAGAGCCATAAAAGGAATGAATTAACAGCACTTGCAGGGAACAAGATGAGATTGGAGACTATTATTCTAAGTGAAGTAACTCAGGAATGGAAAACCAAACATCGTATGTTCTCACTGATATATGAGAGCTAAGCTATGAGGGCACAAAGGCCTAAGTGTGATGCAATGGAGTTTGGGGACTTGAGAGCAAGAGTGGGAGGGGCCGAGAGATAGAAGACTACAAATATGGTGGAGTGTATACTGCTTGGGTGATAGGTAAACCAAAATCTCACAAATCACCATTAAAGAACTTACTTATGTAACCAAATACCACCTGTACCCCAATAACTTACAAAAAAGTGAAATAAAATAAGTAAGCTATAAGAGGATAGTTGGTTGCCTCTCTTTGTGGCCTATTATTACTTTCATGTTTAATTCTACCTGTAAATCTTCTTCTATTCTAATTAGAAAAAAGGTAGAAGACTTCAAATAAATCAGTGGATTGAAATATCAAGTCAAATATAATACAGTAGAAACACATTATATATATCAAAAATAACTCACACATTAAAATACTAACTTTCTTCAACAAACTATATATTCTTAGGAGACAGACCACATCTGTTTGGTTTATCACTGGATATCCAGCCTCTATCACAATGCCTGTATATAATCTGTATTTACATATTAACTAGCAATAATACATAATATATACATTATGACATAATAGCTTAGTACAGATGTTAACATTATCTCCTAATGCCAACATGATACATTCTTTTTTATGCTTTTTTTTTTTTTTGAGACAGAGTTTCGCTCTCGTTACCCAGGCTGGAGTGCAATGGCACGATCTCGGCTCACCACAACCTCCGCCTCCTGGGTTCAAGCAGTTCTCTTGCCTCAGCCTCCCGAGTAGCTGGGACTACAGGCACGCACCACCATGCCCAGCTAATTTTTTGTATTTTTAGTTGAGACGGGGTTTCACCTTGTTGACCAGGATGGTCTCGATCTCTTGACCTCGTGATCCACCCGCCTTGGCCTCCCAAAGTGCTGGGATTACAGGCGTGAGCCACTGCACCTGGCCTTTTTAATGCTTTTTAAAGTTTAAATTTAAGAAATGAAATAAAATACTGATGCTATAGGATACAATATGGTAACAAGAAATTCATCTGACATATATAAATAAGGCCATGGGACTAACAGGTGAAAGGGCATGTTGTACAAAAATATGAAGGTACTGGCCAGGTGCAGTGGCTCATGCCTGTAATTCCAGCACTTTGGGAGGCCGAGGCGGGAGGATCATGAGGTCAAGAGATCGAGACCATCCTGGCCAACACAGTGAAACCCTGTCTCTACTAAAAATACAAAACAATTGGCTGGGCATGGTGGCACATGCCTGTGGTCCCAGCTACTCGGGAGGCTGAGGCAGAATAATTGCTAGAACCCAGGACGCGGAGTTTGCAGTGAGCCAAGATTGTGCCACTGCACTCCAGCCTGATGACAGAGCGAAACTCCATCTCAAAAAAAAAAAAAAAAAAAAAAAAAAAAATGAAGGTACCATAAGAACGCCATTAGGAATGACAATTTTAATCAACAGTTTATAAGAAACCGTTTGTTTTTTCTGGGATATCTACAAAGTAACAAATGTAAACACATTGCATGATTATATATATCAGGACTACCTACGGCTAAGTTTCAGAAGGATGCTACCCCATGAAGAAGAGTCTGGGGGGCAGGACTCAAACAAATAAGAAAAATATAGATGTCTAAAGATGAGTGTTCAGAGGAATACAGATGACTTTTGAATGAGCAATAAATCACTCATAGAAAATAATCAAAACATTATTCATAGGAAAATAAAAGTATGTTTTTAAAAAGCACAGGGTAGATAATGATCTCCTGAGCCGTTTTCTTTCTATTTTTTTTTTTTTTTTTTTGGAGACGGAGTCCTGCTGCATCACCCAGGCAGGAGTGCACTGGTGCAACCTTGGCTCACTGCAACCTCTGCCTCCTATGTTCAAGCAATTCTCCTGTCTCAGTCTCCCGAGTAGTTGGGACTATGGGTGCGCGCCACCTTGCCCTGCTAATTTTTGTAGTTTTAGTAGAAACGGGTTTCACCTTGTTGGTCAGGGTGGCCTCAAACTCCTGACCTCAGGTGATCTACCCGCCTTGGCCTCCCAAAGTGCTGGTATTACAGGCCTGAGACATTTTATAGGATAAATTATATTAGAAGATAATTATTTGCTAGTTATCTAAATATGAGATGGAAAATGAAGACACAATGAATTTGCATGATTAAAACAAACAAACAAGCACCATCTAGACAAACTTTCCTTGCCCTGGAAAGGTAAGAAGGTAAGTCTAAATCAAATTATTTACAGGAAATATTACTTATAAGTGGATTATTTTCTTTTTCCTGAGACTAGCCAAGGGATAAAAACATGATTGGAAACTTGTGTTAATTTTGAAACCAAAGAACACTGTAAAGGTACAGGGAAACATTACTATGGAAAAAATTCCCAGTGTCACAAAAAGGCAAACTGCCTATCTGGAAAAAGAGTAGAGCAATTAAGTAGATAGTTAATTCAAATTGTAATTATAAAATAACAATAATTCTCCTTCTGCTAAGGCAATGAATTGAATTCCAGCTACAGACTTATCTAATTCTAACATTCATGCAAAACTAAGGTCATATATTTACTTTGCTATGCACCACTTTTATGATAGACTAAGCCTGCCTTGTTAGTTACAAAGTGAGTTTTATTATATGCATATGGTGGGTTATGCTCTGTACTTACTTTAAATATTAAAATATAAGCATATTAAAGTATAAATATGATCATTATACTTTCTTATATTAACCCTTCTATAGACCAACATGGGCAACTATGTTCTTAGAGACATCATAGAAATTTCTTTAATCTCCTACCTATCCCTGAGAATGGTCCAGAGCTCTCCACCAAGACAAGCTTCCATCAACATATACAAATATTTGCTGTCCTTGAATGTTCTGTACAGTCTATAAATTGCAAAGAAGGAAACAAAGGTTATAAACATTACTGTCTTTTACAAATATGCAATTTTGGGAGGACCCAGATTATAGTTTTGATTTGCCAAACTCAAAATTTTGTCAGAATGAGAGAGATCTAAGCTCACATAGGCAAAAGAAGCCAATGGCTCATGAATAAGGATTTTAATAGGAGAAACTAGGGTTCTAATCTCTCCCTTGAAATGGATCAATCCTAATGATTATAGACAAAGAGGGTTTCTTGAGATTCTTTCCATTCCAATTCGGGTGATGTTTCAAGCATGGACTCTTGGGGTGACATTTAGTCATCATCAACATGTAGTGGAAATGCATATCAAGTGGATTAAACTTTATAAATTCAGACATGTATAAATTTCATGTGCTACTCTCTTAAATTCATCCTGTTAAATTACATCCTGTTCTCAGTCAGTGTAACTGGAAAATTCACTATAAAAAGCTGCTTCTGCATATAAAAATCTCCTCATTATCCATTTATTAGTACTGAGGTGGAAGGGTCAGCTGGCATTTCATTTTTTTGGATCTTCAAAAAATGTTCAGATAATTAAAGGTTAAATAGTTTGATTTTGGATATTTTGCCTTTTAAGCATCAGAGGTCTTCGTAGAGTTTGGGGGTTTTAAAAAGGATAAAAATGTAATGTTAGAAATTCTGGTACCTCTTTTGGGAAAAACACATTGTTTTCAGATACTGATTCTCTTTAAAAGGAAGAACAGAATCAGAAATTTATTTTTAAAAATCAAACAACTTTCTTAAGGTTAGATTAAAAATAGTTTCTTTGTATACATGAAATGTATTAACAGCAAGTGCAGGTAGCAGAGGGTTTTGTGGTGGATTTGTCACTTGGAGTTGGGTACATCTGTCCCTGGGATGGGGCCTTTACCTCACTATGAAATCGGAATGAGCCCCCTGCATGATCTGCTTCTCTGAGCGGATATGCTCCTGCTGTCTTGTGTCCACAATGTGACGTTTCTTGAGAATCTTCATTGCAAATGTTTTAGATTCTTCACTTTTCAACTGGACCTTAAAGAAAGAGAGAAGGTAGTAAGAAAAAGCCCATAGACTTATAAGAGTACATTTTTATTTCAAAATTAACAGGTACATGGAGCACTTAAATGCATCTCAGCCCCCAGCCAAGTCACACACACAGAAAATCCTTGCTAGAGCTGGGTTTAACATCCAGGGCTCACACCTATCATCCAGTCTCATGCTCTGTTACTGGCTGAATTTTAACTAACTCAATTCCAAATTAATTTTGTTCACATGTGAACTAGAAGAAGGAAAATGTACTTAGTTATAGTTTTATTATTTCATTTCTTAGCATATATCTGAATACAATTTATGGTTTTTCTTCTTCAATCAAAAAAGTAGAAAAAAATTAACTTCCAATTTTATTTAAGTAAAGATGGCCAAAATAGGGTCATATGGACCTTTATGTTCTTCCTTCTTAGTTCTAGTCTACAAACACTTCTAGAGTTTTTAACTTGAGTGGTGGACCTTAGTCTCTGCTGAGACTGCAGACTGTCATTTCTTCAGTACTGGCTGTATTCATTTCTTCTTTTTAACTTTGCAGAATTTTCCCTCCCTATAGTTTAAAGAGGAAAAAAAATAATGTATCAAGATTTTTTTCCAAGAGATTTTGAAAACCATTTGCTTTTCTTCTCAAACATGCATGATGGCTTCAGTTCCTTTGACCTCACACTTTACTCTCTAGTAACTGGGAAGATCTTTAGACTTAATAGTTTTCAGTGTGCCATGCCTCTCTTGCAGCCCATATGGCTCTCAGTGGCTCCAAAGGAGGCAAGGGTCTTCCAAATGCCATACCCTCAGATAGGATGCTATTTATTGTTTCACAAGAAATTTCAACAAGGTGATTTATAACAAAAACAAGAGAAATAATAGAGCTAATTACTTAAAAGCAATATAAGGGTGTCATCATCTAGTGCTGTCAAGCAGCAGAATCCTCAAGATGACACAAAACAGCCACATTATTTGGAGGTAATGAAACCTTGGGGAAATAACATGGCATGCTGTTTCTGCTTCTCAGTTGAAGTATGGCTGTCCCCTCTTTAGTTGTTAATTATTTACTGCTTCATCATCAGGGATAGTGAAGTTCTTAAGTGTCTTGTTCCTGCGCACATGTACAGATTGAGTTCAAGCTGAGAGGACATTAATGTGGCAAGTTCCTTAGGAGGGAGCATAAAGATACTGAAAATAAATGGGCCTCAGTTAGCTGCCAGAATCTGTGAATCGGTATGACAGGTAGAGGGAAAAACGGGTATTTGAAAATGCCTTTAACAGCCAAAGGCCCTCTGCCCTGTCTGCGAAACTCAAAGATGACAGATAAGTGTGATACAAGTAAATTCAGTTGTAATTCATAATAAAAAGCAAAATGTGAAAACTCACTTCTAAAAGAAATCTGGACAGCTAGGGAAGATGGCATGAAAATGAGCTATGTTAGAGTACTACAATTCAGAGAATAAGGAGTCCAGTCATATTCCCTCTTCAGAGTCATACCCAGTTTAACTAGTGAGGAGTCTTGTGTAGTTCAAAAATGCCAACTGTAAAAATTATTCTCTTTAGTGATGATAACGCAGATTTTTTATACTTGTACACAGGGTCGGAGGAAAGAATTCAGCCTTTATGGTCACAGGTCTGGACTTGAATTCTGATTCTGCTTAGTCTCTCTTAGTATAAGCAACTAGTGTCTCTTGGGCTAGTTGCTTAACTGCTCTGAGCCCTATTTCTGGCTAACGATAATACCAGATACCACAGTTATTGTGATCCTAAATGAGAACCTGCCACCAAATGGTCATTCATTGACAGACTGCTTGTACCCAGAAATCTCTACTGAACAGGGCAAATCTAATGTTGCTTTTTCAGAGGAACAAACTGATTTCCCAGAAAGGTTCATACCTTTCTGAAAGTCACAGAGTTGTATTCATGTTCAGATGTTTTTTGGTCCAAGCTATTTCCAGCATATACTACTTCCCTTCAGCTGAATACAAAAACAATGAAATGCACAGTGATTGATACTTTACAAATCAGAGTTTAATGGAATTGGCTAACTCATGGACTGTGAGATAAACTGAACAATATGTCTATTACCTTTAAGTTTAATTTGTGTAAGGCATGTGATTTGGGAGAACAGCCACGTCCTCACTGACATTTTCCTAGGCACTTCCAGGAACCTCAATGTGTTAAGGGTTTGGGGTACCTGATTGCTTCAATACTACAAGGAGAAGCCAAGTGGAGTAGGAAGAGCGTGATGAGAGCTGGTGGTTGGCAGATGCCATGAGAGACAGGTAAAAGCTATAGAAGTTCTTGGGAGTCAGGCTTACTAGCTGCCAAATTAAAAAGTATTAATTAGAAAAAGTTTATAGAACTATACTGCTAACCTACTGAGGCTTTTTGCTTTGCTTTTACTTTTCAGGGAAGCAGTCCTTAGGTCTAGAATCATCTTCCTTCTTTGCACTCTGTACAAGATCTCATGAGTTCCTTAGAGGCAGGGCCCTTAGAACCTCCATTTCCAATTTAAACTGGAATGCCACAAGACTCAGAGAACTCAGGATCCTAACTAAAAAGTAGGGGTTCCTGAAGACCACTGGTTGGGCTAACTCAATAGAGACAGTAGAGAATATTGAAGTTAATTATTAAATAATCAGAAATCTTCTGACAAACCAACAACTTATGATCATTCAAGAATGTTCAATTCAACATTGTTTCTAATGGAAAAATTTAGAAACAGTCTAAATTTCTACAAAGAGGAGGAGTTTGCAAAAATAAATTATAGTATATCCATGCAATGCAACTGTAAAAATGACTTAGAATTATGTTTAACATTATGGAAAAATAAAACATGTATAAATAAAAGATACTGATTATAAGACAGCATACATTTTATGATCTCACAGGGTATGTGTGTGTGTGTGTGTGTGTGTGTGTGTGTGTGTGTGTGTGCGTATGTATATATGTACATATATATATACATCTATATGTGAAATAAATCAATGAAGACACAATCAGAAATGTGTTCATCGATAGGTTAACAATGGTTTTTCCTTAGGGAGACTTTTAGTTGATTTTTGCCTGTTTTTACTTTTTGAACTGCTTAACTTTTGAATAATCATCATATCTTGCCTTTACAATGAGTAAAACTTTAGTCATGAAGAAACTTCCAAGTCTTTTTAAAATTGTAACAGCTATTTATTATAATTGTCTGAATCTTTCTAACTGATTTTGATTCAACTAGAATTCCATGAATGCAAATTTTGAGAAATTGTACAGAGCATAACAACCTATTCACGTCTGGGGCTGAACCACCCACTACCATCTTCTTTCAGCACTGGCCACAAAATTTTTTTCAATATCAACTCTGAGTAAGTTATAGCAATTTGTATTTGGTGAGCCTAAGATATTCTGTTTTATTATACAAATATTTTAACAAACCTAATCCATGAAGAATGTTAAGGTGACATTTAGTTTGCTTTTTATTTTCCCTGTTGTCCAATTAATTATGCCAAGTCCACGTGTGCTCATTTGAGATGATGATGATGATGATATTTTAGCAAGTCAGTTAGAGCTATGAAATTACTTTTGAGTATGAAAAGAGATCAGCAAAAGAGGAAAACAGGAATGCATATTTTTGTTCTTTCTCTTGCCCAGGAATCCTTCCTAGCCTAGAGAGTTATGAATGTTCCTCAGGGTTGTCTTCTTTTTGCAGACTATCCTAACCTCCTAGGTGGCCAGGCTAATCCTCTGGTTGAGAGTGTGACTAGTGTGATATTTGAATGATTTTTGTTTCAATCTCAACCTTTTTTTTTTTTTTCCGCTAGTTCTCTTGGACAAGCTACTCTCTGCTTTCATTTCCTCATTTATCATATAGGGATATCCTGATAGGTTACCTGCGAAAACTAAATAAAAGGGTTTATGTATCAAACAGCACTTTGGGAGGCCGAGGTGGGTGGATCATGAGGTCAAGAGATTGAGACCATCTTGGTCAACAAGGTGAAACCCCGTCTCTACTAAAAATACAAAAATTAGCTGGGCGTGGTGGTGCATGCCTGTAGTCCTAGCTACTCAGGAGGCTGAGGCAGGAGAATTGCTTGAACCCAGGAGGCAGAGGTTATGGTGAGCCGAGATCGTGCCATTGCACTCCAGCCTGGGTAACAACAGCAAAACTCCGTCTCAAAAACAAAAACAAAAACAAAAACACAAAGTGTTTATTTTGTTCTGACTGCAACCCAACTCAGTGCTAAAAAGTAGCTTAGTAAGGATTTGAGAATCTACTTGTGTAAGATTGTGGATGCTATAAAAGGAACAAGATCATGTGCTTTGCAGGGACATGGATGGAGATGGAGGCTGTTATCCTCAGCAAACTAACACAGGAACAGAAAACCAAACTGCATGTTCTCACTTGTAAGTGGGAGCTGAACAATGAGAACACAGGAGAGGAACAACACACACTGGTGCCTGTCAGGGGAGGCTTGGGGGTGTTGGCAGAGAGCATCAGGAGAAATAACTAATGCATGCTGGTTTCATACCAGGTGATGGGTTGACAAGTGCACCAAACCACCATGGCACTTGTTTACCTATGTAACAAACATGCATATCCTGCACGTGCACCCCAGAAGTTTAAAAAGTTTAAAAAATTAATAAAGCATTAATATTAGTTTATTAATTATATTAAATGTATTACATGAATATAAGTTGTCAATAGTAGGGTTCATTGGGTTCAGTGTATATAGCAATTTTCTGTACTATCTTCACATTTCTGTAACTGTATTACTGTTCTCAAAGAAGTTAGGGATGCTTATTCCACACTGGTTTTACTTCAAAATTCCTAGAAAGGAAAAATGAACAAGAAAAGCTGAATACTCAAGGTCTTCATTTTGTTTTATATAAGAAATGCTATATGCTATATTAGAAATTAGAATTGGTAAATGTTTCATTTACAATAAATTGTTACTTCAGTATGAAGTATTATATTGACATTTCAGTGAATGTATACTTGGGCCAAGTAG